CTAAGAATTCGAGAGATGATTTTCATTGGTTGACACTGGAAAATTTTGTTGGCTACGTCATGGTTATTCCCCTACAAGATCAAGCAAGTAAGCATTTTATATTTTGGGAAAAGTTTTAAAGTTTGTCGCAATCGTCGTTGATACGAGGAATTGAAAAGGTTATGTGATGATGATAATGTCTTAGGAAAGTTAAAAATTAGATGATAAAATGTCTTCTCCAGGTCACGGGAAAGGCAAAAATAAACGAAAATCTAAGGGTCGAGGTTCTGGAGGCGGACGAGGAAGAGGAAGAGGACAAGAGCCGTTGTCTACTCCAGGAAGAAGCGAAGGTGCATCAAAACCTCCTGATGAAAGGGAAGAAATTGCTCACCAGTTTGCTGAAGGAGAGGAGAAACCAGTGGCAAGTGCAAGTTCTCCTGCGTCAAAAGCAGAAGAAACACTTGGGGCTTGTTCATCTGTTTCAGAAACAAAGAATCCATCGCGATCTTCAGCCGACCAAAAGCCAGATGTAAGAGGTCCTTGTGCAAAAGAGCCTTCATCAGACAAAAGCATACCGTCGACAGAAGCAACACAGGGAAAATCAAGGCAGCAGCAGCCCAAACAATCTAAGGGAAAGTCACATGTATCTTCTTCTCCGCCAGACACTAAAGGTATTACAAAATACATGCCCTCGGTCATGATTTACTTTGCTAGTTGAGTGTCCTACATTTTGGTATTTTGGCCGAGTGGTCATAAGGAGTTTTAGTGACAGTATATTATATGGCTAAACTTCAGACTACCCCGCCACTGAAATATTCCACAACAACTCTTGCTAGCATAATATGGTCCGTGGTCGACTCCGCGGTCCACAGTGTTAACTAAGGCCTGGTTCAGACGCCGTACTTTTCATGTGCCGAACCTAACTGAATAAGTTCGACTTTGGAGTGACACTGGCGCGACATCTGATTCAGACAGCATACCGTGTGTCGAACCTAAGTTAAGTTCGACAAAAGTTTGACCGACTCTGTTGAACTTAACGCTTTTGCTGCACCAAACTAAACCTGCCGTACCAAATTGATTCAGACGCTGCTCTTTTGCCGTACTTAATTCATCAGTTAGGTTTGGCACATGAGTGGAGCGGCGTCTGAACCAGGCCTAAGCCAGTTTAAAATAAAGCAGCCATTCTACCAAATTGAAATAGCGTGGCGCACAGATGACATCACAAAAACGTGACCCATACCGAGACTCAGACAAATATGGGCCATTTCTGCAAAAGCTCGCAAGAGCGCTGTATGAAAACACACAGTTTGCTATCAGTTCTGCTTGCCCTTTTAGCATTTTTAGGAGCGTTCCAGTTTCGAAATTCAACAAAGGTCCATGGGAATATAATGTAGAACAAATCAAAACATAGCTTAAGTACAAAGGATTGAAACAGAGTGGAAAGTGAAAGGACTTTTAAATGCTGTGTTTCGATACCTTATTGCAGCCGGTAAATATTTTCAAAGAACAAGATACCCAGCAGTCTGATATTCATGTCCAATTATTTTTCAAGAATTCTCATTGAATTCTTTTAAGAAAATTTGATATTTGTTTAGAAATTTTGATTTCTGTGCGCCAAAGTAGAAACACTCGTAGTCATACCAGATATTCAATTTTTTAAGTTCAGATTTTCGTGAAAAACTGAGAGACTGTAGTAATATTTCAGACTGCCGGGCTAGTGTAATAATAATCTGATAACCGTCCCCGCGATTCAAGATTCAAATATGCCAAAGCTTGGAGAATTTGTCCACTACAAGACCAAACCTGTTTTCAGAATTGCTTGGCATTTGCCAACAAACATCAAATGCTCCAGAGAGGTTTTGATGATAATTTTTCTGAATATCCTTTTATACACCTTTAAATGACCCAGTGTGTCACGCCGGTGAAGTGTTGAAAACATTGAGATTTCACCATATGCCCAAGGTCGACAATTGAGTCTGGCTTCAAACCCAAGGCAATGTTTGAAATCACTTGAGATTTCTAAAGAAACATTTTGTTTTCAGAAGAATTAAATCTCCATCAGAATTTGTGAAAAACGATTAAATTTCAGACTGTCCAGTATCTAAAACCCATTTTCTGGCAGCCTGGTCACTCCATAGAACATGGCGTACTTCACTTTCTTTCTGGATTTCTCGTATTTATTTAGCAACTCAGACCACTTTTTCAGGGATCCTTGAGTCCCTCTTACACTCTTCCCAGCTGTAACACTTACTTTTTACCATTTTCCGATAAAAATATGGGAAAAAAAAAACATTGTTTTGACTCAATACTCAGCAAAAGTGCATACAAAGCCTTTGGGAGAGAAGCAAAGTTTGTCTGAGTCATGCGGCGGGTCTCATCTGATGTAAACTATTTTTAGAATCTGTGCACAGTGCTATTTACCATATGAACATATGAACCAAGGTAGCAGTTCAGTGTACATTTACACACCTAAGGTGCATTCCGTTTGGATGTTCCGGATCAGGATCAGTGATCCAAGTTCACTCAGATCATAGCACATCAAAGGAACCAATTAATTCAACCTGGGAAAGGATTGATCCGTTTATTTGATGTACCATGATCCAAGAGATCTCAGATCACTGATCCTGATCCGGATTATCCCAAGGGAATGCACTCTTAGTTAATTTCAACCCCCCCCCCCCCCCCCCCCCACCCCTGGACGCCGTCTGCCACAAGTTTAACAACTTTATACTACTCTCACAATCTCTTTTTTTTCCCACTTATTTTTTTTTGTCTAAATATCCCAAGGGAATGCACTCTTAGTTAATTTCAACCCCCCCCCCCTCCCCCAGAGGACTATGGACTGCAGTAGCAGTAAGTTTACACACTTTATACTCAATTCAAGTTCTCTAATTTCACCAATTTCTTTTTGACTGACTGTGGACCATGGTAGCAGTACATTTAACACTTTTTTTCACATTTTCTACTATTAAAATTAATATATTATTATGACCTTAACAATTTATTCAAAAGACTAATAACATTTAAGTTGCAATATTGATACTTTTAGAATTTACAGCTATTCAGTAAAATTGTTTTAAAAAATATTGACCTACTCTCTAAAAAGATATGTTTTCAGTCCTAATGGTTGTGCATTCCACAGTTTAGGGAAGTTAGTAAGTTTTTGTGCGAGTTCTAGGTTGTTCTAGCAGCTGCTATTATAAAGATGTGGACCGTAAGTTCCATGAGTGCATTTGTTAGCTAAGTCTGTCCTCTAGAAAGGCTAGGTGAAAGGTTATTGAGTGATTTGAAAGCTAACGAAAGAAGTTAAACAACAATACAAAAACTAGCAAGAAGCCAACCAGGGTCAAATAAAACAGGCATGCGTTCAAATTTATGAGTCTGAGTAATGATTGTGGCGTTGACACTGATACAGACACTGATACGTTGATGAATCAGTGTCCTATACATAAACAGTCTTTGAATATTTAACAGTCAGGTTTCACAGGGATCACACTCTGACATTGCCATAAAATGGCATCCATTGCTCAAACTTCAATATTATACTTTGAAGGGATAAAAAAAACAGTGTTAGCAAAGCCTCCTTTTGGCTCAGATCTGATAAAACTCTGTTCATGCATAATATAATAGATATTCAAGCATTAATGATCACTTTTCAGTCAATTCTACCACACTGCACCTACATTCTTGCGTATAAATACATGTATATGTATTACCAGATTCGTTGGGGTGCACGCAAGCATTTCATATTCTGTCCTCCCCCTCCCCTCCTCAACCCTCTTTTCCACTCTCATTCCACTTTTCTCGACAAACTCGTTTGGAAATGCTTGCTACATGTATGCAGGCTAAATTCTTTCTTGATCCATGGTTATACAATTTTCTTTTAGATAAAGCTGGACTACCACAGGCCCAAGCAGCTGTAGGAGCCAGTGCTTCTGCAACTGACCCAGACGTGAAAAAATTGGCAACCAAGTTGGGATATGGATTAAGTACTGGAGGTAGGTAATGGAAATAATACTTTTTCATCAACTGTCATGGAAAAACATACAAAAAAGTGAAAGTAGTCAGTAAAAGCAGGCAATAGTTATTTCAGACAGGCTTTACCAGAACATAAAAGGCTAGCTACTTAATATACAAGTCAGGTGTAAGTACCTGATTAGAGTTCTTGTTATATTTGTTATTATAATGTAGATTTTACATCTAAGAACTCCATTGCATGACTGAGACCTATTATCAGACAAATTACTCAACTAATGTACAGTCAAACCTCCACATGGGACCATCCAGGGCCCGAAATAATTTCTGGAGAGTCTCTGGACACAACAACTGGCCAAATCATTTTAGATCGGTCATGTATCTTTTTTTCTGGCCAGTCAAATTTACAAGATAAATAACTCTTAAAACAGGAACCCATGAACAGGAACCTAGTCATTGCTTAGAGCTTATAGCACTTTAAAGCACTCATTGTCAACAATAAAAATAAATTACAGTCACTGTGGCAATGAAAATAAGCTTATGTGTATTCAGAGGACTCCCGTACGAAACTTGCAGTGCTATACAGCGCCACAAAATCGCTTCAAAATAGCTGTACAGCTAAATTACAGCTGTTTAGCAGCATTTTAGAAGCCAAATAGCAGCTTAATTCAAGTTGCAGCGGGATGCAAAAGCGCTGTGCAGCCTTTGAAGCTCTTGGCAGCAGTTTTGCATCGCAGTTGCCGACTTTAAAATGCTGCGAAGTAGCTGCAGTAACGCTACAATTCAGCTTTGGTCGATCTGATAGCGCAATGTTCTTGAGCGTCAGTAACATGAATCGCCAGAAAAGCCTTACCATGTATCATGATTATTGTATTATTGAAGTCTGCATTTCTTTTTTTTGTACTAACGAGTGGTAGGCCATTACAGGTAACAACATTCTTTGTCTTTTCGAAGCCACTTTGCAGCCACTTTGCAGCGCAGATCGTGATTCCAGAATTTTCTGCACCACTGCAAAAGCGCCGTTTATCACTGTCGAAGGGCTTTTCACTGCAGCGCGAAACAGCCAAAATTTGCTACTGCTGCAGCCAGCCCTTTTACAGCTCTTTTGTAGCGCTTCTTGAAGTCATTCTGCAGCGCTGCAGCAGCGCTGCTCGTTTTGTACGGGGTACACTGTCTGTAACATGTCAAATATCATTATCATGTACAATTAAATTTGTCTGGCGCCTCCAAATATACAGTGTATTGATTTTTAGTGTGCGTATCACTGTGTGAGATCTTTATCCTAAAACTGGCCAGTAATCCATGTTACGCCCATTACTTAAAGAACTGAACCGCATGGAAATTTTAATTTATTTCATTTTCAATATGATCGAATGTGACCAGTCAACATGACTGGTAAGACGAAAGGTTGACCTGTCAACTCCCCAATCAGTCCAGACAGTTTCCGTTGACTGGCCATTATTTCAAGCTCTGCCACCTCTAAACCACCGCCCATAAGCAAGCAATGTCCTATCCAAAACTCCAAAACTTTCCCAGTCAGTTGGAATCTCTTGTAAACAACCCCTTTCTGTAAGCGTCCACAAGCACTTTTTGGGGCTAATGGTTTAATAATTTTTCTGTTGTTTAAACCTCTTGTAAGTGACCACTTGTCGATGCTGATCTCTGTGTTTGCTGTTTGTACTAATGCTACTTAAATAAGTAAGATTCGTAGCAAAAAACATGGAACTACAGTATACGTGTCAATAAAACTTTAAAACTTTACATGCAATAGTCTGTCTTCCATAAAATAGATGTGTTCAGACAATTTCTTGGGAGAGATCAACCCCTGTGGTTCTCTTCTCATACGCGACCACCTCCGTGAGTAACCACTAAGTCTTTGTAACCACAATGGTCGTAATAGGAGGTTGCATTGGACTGTATTTGAAACAAGAGTAAAAGGGATGTTGAAAAAATGTAGCAGTTATTTCCTTTACTGACCCATTGTCAATATTTTATTTATGGGTTATTAACAATGATTGGTTTGCAGTGGCTACACTGTAGCTGTTTGCACTTTTGTTTGAATTAATCCCTCACGATCTATCCTCTCTCTTGCCGAAGAAGACCACTTATGCTTACAGTGTACATGACTTGTTCAATACATGTAGTTTGACATACGTTTCTAATTTTGCTCAGAACACACAGCTCGCCAAATGCAGCAAAATGGTAACCTTCGCCCTCCAAAAAGACCTGGTTATGGTACTCTGGGCAGACCAATAAAGTTAAGAGCCAACTTTTTCCGCATGAACATTTCACCAAGGCTGTCAGATCTTTATCACTACCATGTTGAAATAACACCAGACAAGTGCCCTCGGGTAGTGAAAAGAGATGTTGTTAATGAGATTATCATCAAGTATCAAAGTACTGTGTTTCAAGGCCACAAGCCAGCATTTGATGGAGAGGTGAACCTCTACAGTAGGATAAAGCTTCCTACTCCAGTGAGTGAATCGATTTTTGAATCTACTGATTTTCTCTACACCGTCCCAGGGGTTTTAATAAATTAAAAACTGAAGTACAGCCAGCAGGTTTGAATAGACTGTATCAAAAAGGGGCATTAATTTTATTCCCCTTATCTTCAAAGTAGAGTTTTGGGGTTGGCTCCCCCAGAAAATTAATTTTTGAAATTTTTGTAAGCCGTAAAATGCGATTTTCAGTGTTCTGTGCACTAAATTGAGTAAAGTAGGATATGGGAAGATTTCCTATCAACAGTAGTGATTAGTATGCTGATACATTTCCTGGAAAACAATGAATATGAACAGAATCTCTGTGAGTATGATTAATTAGTAGCTCTCTGAACTTCATGCAAATGTTGTATTGTCAAAAACTAAACAGTTTCTTTTTTTTTTCAGTTTTACGACTGCTTTAATTAAAGTTTTGTCAGAATCTTTGTTTAATTTTATACTTCATTACCCGCGTCAATAAGGGGGACACTAGCATACTGGCCGACAGGTTTCGCTGGTTATCGGTGCTTATTGAAGTCCCTGCTGTCTAATGTTCCCTTAGTATACACTGTATCATATTAATGTAACTTTTGTGTACCACACCATGGTAAGAGTGAATAATTATTAATTAATTTTACTCATTCACACTTTTCTATAAAATTTTGTCTTTTTGCCCAGGCTGAACTTGATGTAACTCTGCCTGGCGCGGATGGTGGAAGGGACAGAGTATTTAAGGTTGGTGTGTAGGCTTACAGCTGTAGGTACAACAGCTACAAGGAGGGTTTTCGGACATTGCTCTACCAGAAGCTTAATAAAAAGTGTTAACTTCATGTTTGATAACTAATTATCAAGGCCATTAGAAGAGTATACAGTATTTACAACTAAAAGTGATACAAACTAGAGAGCTTTAGATTCGGGGACGTCTAGGACGACTGCGAGGATGACATTTAATTTTAAGTTTTCTTGCCTAGTATTCTCGTGTCTCGCCTACACTGGATTCTCTAAAACATCGTGGACACCTCAGAAAGCATCATTGCCGGAGTACTTTTTTTCACCACGAAAGTTGGTTTGTTTATTTCCGTTGAAGGAGGTATACTATAGCCCTCTCCCGATCGCTATATGATAAAATTCCTATGATAATTTGTTTTCACCACCATGGCTTTGTTGCTAAAACTCATAGTACAGCGTAGAATGACAACGGCTACCACGTTTTGCCACCAGAATGAAGCTGGTTCATGCGCGTGCACTACTTAGTACTGGGAAAATCTCGTACTCATATTGGTCCTCGTCTCAGAATCTAAAGGTCTCTTAAAAATTAAGTTTACAATGCAGGAGACCCACTCTTACTGACACGATAGTTATTAAATTTCTAGAAGCATTTAAATTCCCTTAGGTCTTTTAATATTGACTTATTATTGAAGAAAAATTTGGGTTTTACAATTTTAATAAAGAAGTCTAGTTAATTCGGGTCCAGGCAATTAATTGCAGAGGTTTGATTGACCCTCAATGATCTGTATTGTAAAACAGTAGGGACGATCAGTACGGGTGACTTTATTTGTCTTTTCCAGGTTAAGATCCAGTTTGCAGCATCAGTCAGTATTGAATCTTTAAGAAAATTCCTTATGGGACAACAGAATGGAAAATCAGCCCAAGATGCTGTGCAGGCACTGGACATTGTTATGCGACAGATACCTTCAAACCATTTTACACCTGTTGGTCGATCATTCTTTCCTCTTGATGGTTATGGTGCAAAAGACCTAGGGGAAGGGTGTGAAGTGCAGTTTGGTTTTTACCAGAGTATAAGACCCTCACAATGGAAGGCAATGCTGGTTAACATTGATGGTAAGATCTTACATGTAGACTAATACCTTGCAGTTATAAGCACTTGGCTGCTACATGTAGTTGCACTTACAATAGTTATAATGATTCCCATAAATATACACTGTTTTAAGCAAAAGATTATTTTTAAGTAATTAATATTAGCCTTAAAAGATTGCATAGACTTTGGGATGCCATCAGTAGTTTCCCCACAAAATTTACATCTGTGGAACAAGCATGATACTGATGATGTGTCAATACCAGTGGTGAAGTCCCTTGTTGTTTAATTAAATCGAATTAGCAGCTCCAGATAATAAACTTGCTTACTTCTTCCCGAGGGCGTTGCTTATTTAAAGGCACTGACTGTATTAATTTTGAAAAAGCTTTTGATATTATTTGGTAAAAAAGGATGATTTCTTCCTCTTTACATGTACACTACACTGCACCTTTGCATTTCAGTTTCTGCCAAGGGCTTTTATAAGAGTCAAGGTGTCGTTGAATTTGTTAGTGAAACCCTGCAGCTATTGCCCCATCAACTTGAAGACCCCAGGTGTCAGATTGACAGATGGAAGCTTGAGAAGGCTATACGTGGTAATAAGGAGGTTTTTGTATTTAACTTGATCATTAGTTAGACTAATTACCCTCTCACCTTCAGAAGTGTCCTAAGTCACTTAAAATTCATGAGAAATACTAAGTATTGTCTCATAACACACTCAAAAACAATAAATAGTAACAGGTGACAGTACAGTGTATGCATGGTCAAAGAAGTTTGATTTGAATGTCCACACATTAAAGGTTTCATCCACATGACTGCATTAATTTTGTGTCTGGCTCCATAACTGACATAGGAATAGTCAATGACTGAAGCCATATCTGGTAGACTGTTAATGGAACTTAAATGCCAATGCAACATTATCATTTTCTTTATTTTAGTTTTTTAACCTCATATTGACAATCGCATCAAAATACAGTACATAACATTGCAAATCGGTGAGCATTTTTTGAGTATAACAGAACTTTTAAGCTCTAAATTTTAAAGTACAGTTCAGATAAGAGATGCTTCAGGGGAGTAAGCTAAAAAAAACCTATGGGAAGACATGGACATTTTTCTGAACCATCGGATAATGCAATTCTAGAGCTCTGATTGGCTTTATCTGCTGCACAGCTGTCTTTAGTGTCGTCACGCAACGCTCCTCTCCACATTTGTTGTGTGATGACACTAAAAACGGCTGTGTAGCAGACTGATTGGCTTAGCCATTATGGTACACTGTATATCAGCCATTATTCATTGTACCAATGCCATGCTCTCCAAAAATGGTAACTGTATGTGTCTGCCCAAAATTAAAAACAAGCTGAAAATCGGTTATTTTTAAAAAATTTAATAAAGTCGGGAAGAATTCTTGATATTTTGTGGGGGGTTTTAATAAAACAATTATCCCACTTGCGCTTGTTGGATATGAGATGATTATAGCCTACTTGCACTTGTGGAATATTTGTTAAATATTCACTAATCTGAAGATCGTTGCATCGTCTTTTTCATGGTAGGTTTACGTGTGCAAACCACTCATGTGGCCTCAATAAAAAGAAAGTATACAGTTTGGGGGGTGTCCAGCCAGTCTGCAGAGAGGCGAGAATTTGACGTGGAGGATGAAACTACTGGCCGCCGTACAAAAACAAATGTAGCAGCTTATTTCAGGGAAAGATATAACATACGGCTGAGGTATGCTAATTCTTTCTATCAGGTAGAGAGTACACTACCCTTTCCCATGAGTTGTTACGTGATATGGCTGCATTTTGCTGTCACACAGGGCTGAGACCATTGGAAGAAGCTGATGTCCCACTCTATCCCTAGCAGGGCGCATAGAAAGTCATTTTTAAAGCCCTTCGGGCAAGCTGCAGCTAGCGTATACAAGCTCAAACGTCATTTCAACTAGCCCCAAAAGCATTTTGATGGGCAGAATTGATTTAACAGTTCTTCTTTAATTTGAATTCCTCTGAAAACTTCAATTGCCTGTCGGGCTGGTTAAGAACTGAATTCACTAACCTGATAGCAAAATTCAATAGCCCCGGGCTATCGGACACTACTTTCTTTGGACGCTGCCTAAATGCCTAGCCAGGGTCAAATAGGGGAAATATCGGCAAGCAAAGCGAGCCCGGCGGTGGCCTGGGGAGGGGGGAAAGTGGGCAGAGCCCTCCGCCGCCCTTTCCCCTCCCCAGACTACCTCTCTACCTCTCTTTTTCCCCTAATACGGAGGCTGGTCCGAGGTTACTCTATCCCCTCCATTGGGGTGATGATAATGGTCGAGCTGGGAGTCGAACAGTATTTTTTGTTGCCATTGAAGTGGGTTCGGTGTTGACTGTGTTCGCCAGTTTGCGTTAGTTTCCTTTGCCTTGCCTGCGTCCAGCAACATTAGTCGATTCTTGCCTTGCAGATAATTATCAAGATTTGCTAACACCCCGTTAACCTAGACAGAAGCTAAATCCCTGCTAGTTTTTTACTTTATTTATCCTCACTCAGTTTTTCAAATGTAGCCGAATATTTCTGTGGTTGAACTCTCTTTTAAAAGGAAGTTGACTGAGTTGTATCAAATTGTCAGGTTTCCACACCTGCCTTGTTTGCAAGTTGGCCAGAAGAAAGACCGTTACCTGCCGATGGAAGTTTGCACCATAATTCCTTGCCAGAAGCGGCACTTATCTGAACAACAGACAGCGAATATGATCAGAAGTACAGCACGACCTGCACCTGAACGACGACAGGACATTGAATATTGGGTAAGTTATTTTTTCCTACCCCTTATTCTTTGAGATAATTCCTGCGGTGTTAATCTTTGAAAACGCTGCATAGATAGGTTCGGCACCTTAAGAAAGGTTTGGCCTGAAACTGGGTGTAGAACTTGAAGGGGCTGTGTCACGGCTTGGCTTGTTCATTTTGTTTATAATGCCTTTCACGCGATCTATTCGCTATTAAACTTGAAAAATTACTTGTGAATGACAAAATGGCAGCCTTATGTCAAACAAGTATGTCTCCTATTAAAGTATATATTATACAAGCAGCAAACAATGAATTTTGAAAAACTGTTAGGCCAACAAGTTTTCGAAAACCACAATTTCAATCCGCTTCAATGTTCTCTAACTTTGTCCATCCATGCATCCTTCAAAAATCACTGCTCTAAACGTTATTCCTTTCTTTTAGCGTTTTGAGCAGTTATTTTTATGTTTTCATTCAATTTGGTCGCGGTTCCTTTTTGAATTTTGATAAATTTGGTAAAACACAGTTGCGTGTTTTCTTATAGGCTCAAGAGTTGATTAGAACCAGTCAGAAATACTTGGATAAAGAGTTTCAGACCACTGTGGACCCTGAAATGGTGAGGGTTGACGGCCGAGTGTTACCAGCACCTAAAATAAATCTTGGACCACAAGATCAAGCATTGGTTCCTCGCGATGGCTCATGGGACTTGCGTGATAAGGCTCTTCATCAAGGAGCAGTAATTAACACCTGGGCGATGGCTTGTTTTGCACCTTTCCAAAGATGTAATGAAAATCAGTTGAGGAACTTCTGTAGGCAGATGGTAACTGTTTCTAGCAGAGAAGGAATGAGGATGACTGATCCAGTTGAGGTCAGATATGCACGGAACACAGAGGTACTGTAGATGATTTGTGGATGACTGCCAACAAGTTAAAGCTTAATGATAAAGCAGAATTTCTCTTTCTGCACTCCCGTTTTCGTCATTCGTTGCCCCCTCCCACGATTTCTTTTGGCATGGAAAACATCAGGCCCTTTCAACAGGCTCGCAATCTTGGCGTGATTTTTGACGACACAATGTCACTTACACCACATGTTAATACAATAGTTAAGGGTGCCTTCTATCACGTACGAAATATTTCTAAAATAAGAAAATACATCAGTAAAAGTACCACAGAAATTCTAATTCACAGTTTTGTTAGCTCGAAGTTGGACTTTTGTAATTCTTTTTTTTTTGGTGGCCAAAAACGGGACATAGTTAAGTTGCAGTCCGTTCAAAATGCGGCTGCTCGAAAATTATGGCCGATCTAAAAAAAAAGATCACATCTCCGTAACTCTAAGAGATCTTCACTGGCTTCCTGTTGAGGAGAGAATAGTTTTTAAAATAAATTTAATAACTTTTCAAACATTGAATGGCTCCGGTCCCCGTTATCTTGAAGATATTTTAAAATTTTACCATCAATCAAGGACATTACGGTTATCAAGGGATCATTTACGCCTTGAAGAACCAAATTTTAACATAAAAACTTATGGCCAGCGAGCGTTTTCCGTTGCTGCCCCCGACTATGGAACAAGTTCTCCTTTGAAATTTGAGCTTGTTCTGATGCTGATCTTTTTAAATCTAAGTTAAAAACGTTTCTTTTTAAAAAGGTATATGACATTTAGTTTCATCATATTTGTTTTTGTTTTCTTTCCTTTTTAAGATGTGTATGCTATAAATTTCCCAATGTGAACAGTAGGGTTATATGTCAGCTTGTGATTAATGATATTCTTATGTCCTTTTTTACATTGTAAAGCGCTTAGAACAGCGATGTATAAGCGCTATATAAATTCCATTATTATTTTTATCCTAAAGGACATATGTCCTTGGGTAGACTAGAATGTTTCGGTACACGCAGCCCAAACTGTCATTGTAAAAGTAGTGATTTGGGTCGTGTCCTTTGGTGGTGTTGAGATAACAGCAACAAGGACCTTTATTTTTCCTTAATTCTAGTCATTTACGCAAGTGCACAGGTCCGTAGGTAGCTAGTACTAATCTTGGCTTCCACGCAACTAAGGTGCAGAAAATACTTTTATACTTCTATTTACTTTCGTATACTATTTTACATATCTTTTTAACTTTATCGATATATGAAAGAGTATAGATTGTTTTCACTCACGTGGCCAGCATCTATGCAAATTTATTGAAACAAAAGAAAGCGTTTGCATAATAAAGGAGTTCAAATCGCAGAGGATTGGTTCGGGACATCAACATGGCCGCCGTATGATTGTTTTGGGACACCAGTATGGCCGCCTAGACGTCATGTTAAAACAGTCTATACAAAGGAGAGAAAGAATTTACAGTTACAAAAAATGTACAGTTTATAAAGTTTATGAAAAAGTGGGTATCAGTTTATACCTTCTTTACTGCAGATTGTAACCATAAGCTTCTTTTCTTTAGGTACAAAGTTTGTTCTCCAAGTGGATGGTAGAGTACCCAGGACTCCAGCTTATCATGGCTGTTCTGCCTAACAAAGATAAAGACCTTTATGCCGAGATCAAACGTGTCGGAGACAATGTTTTTGGAGTTCCAACGCAGTGTGTTCAGATGAAACTTCTTCAGCAACCTAAAGGTCAAGCCCAAGTGTGCGCTAACCTCTCACTTAAGATTAACTCCAAATTGGGCGGTATCAATCAGGTTATTGATCCCTCAGTACAGTCGCCTAAGCTGGGGAAAACCACTATTGTTTTTGGTGCTGATGTCACTCACCCTTCCCCCACTGAGAATGGTATTCCATCTATCGCTGCGGTGGTTGCGAGCATGGATCCTAATGCTACCAAATATCAGGCTCGAGTTCGCGCTCAAACGCATGAGAAGGGAAGTGGAGCTCAGGAAATCATCAACGACTTGGCAGTTATCGTAAGAGAGCTTCTTATTGAGTTCTACAAAGCTAATGCCAAGTGCAAGCCTTCTAGAATCATTTTTTATCGGGATGGAGTCAGTGAAGGCCAGTTTGACCAGGTCCTTGTTCACGAAGTGCGCGCTGTCCAAGAAGCTTGCATGAGACTTGAGAAAGAATATCGTCCTCGGATCACGTTTATTGTGGTCCAGAAGCGACACCACACGAGATTGTTTTGTGAAAACAGCAGAGATGAAACCAAGAACAGAGCCAGGAACGTACCTCCGGGAACAACGGTGGACAGTGGAATAACTCATCCCTATGAGTTTGATTTCTATTTGTGCAGTCACTTTGGTATTCAGGTACCCATCAATTGCCTATGCTAGATTATTTTTAATTGTTATTGCATAATTGTACAGGGCTCGGGAAAAAAAAAAATTGAATTCCAACTTGTCCTTTGGACAAGCAGCTCTCACATTTGGCTTGTCCAGGGCCACTTTTGCTGGTCTAAGTTAATGATTTTGTTGGAGGATAGCTTGCCTGGACTCGTGCCTATTAGGCAAGTGATTTTCTAGTTAAAAGCCACATGCCCATCAAGAAAATTTTCTTGTCCCAGACTACTGGACGGGACTTTTTTCGAGTCCTGCATATGGTATTGTTTTTTTCCTGGAATGTGTAGGGAAGGGTGGGAGCAGGGTGCCTTTTTGTTACCTCCATTGCATTTCTGTAAATTACAATCTAACCCCACTTTATAGGCACCCCATTAATACGGACACTTTCTATGGCCCCCCATTAGTGTGTTTGACTAAAATATAATTACTGCCGTGCGAGCGAGCCTGAAGCGAGCAGGCAAGGCAGCAGACCTAATCCGCACAGGAACAAAAACTTTTCGATTTCTACCCACGATATATCTGGATTTTTTTAACTGCAATAAACGGATTTTACCACAATTCCTTGCCCTCCTATTGTCAAAATAAATCGAAATCCGGTGGCGCTGGATAACATCTTCATATCGATCTGCACATCCTACTCATACGCTTTCAGTAATTGCTAATTATATATTTTCAGCGAGTGCATTTGCGCTTGTCAGTGAAATTTTCTTCAGATGATCATCGAAAACCTGACACGTAGATTTAGATTCGGTTGTTCAACAAAGCAAGTAACTTTTGTTGCCATCTGATCAGAAATTTCAAGCAATTCCCTTTATTGCGGACACTGTAGGGACCTTGAGTTAGTTTCCTCATTAGCGAGAGTCCGTAATAGTGGCAGTTTAGTGTTTTAGTCAAACATCTCTAATAATGATTATTTTTGCCTGGCATTTAGCTCAGTGCTGTCCGTATTATCGGGATGTTCGTTATAGCGGGGTGTCCGCAAGGCGAGAGTTGACTGTAATTGTGGCATGTACGCTAAATCTTTCCCTAAACAACACGGTTACAGTGGAGCAACATCCTGCCCCCCTGAGAAACACGTATTCACTTACTACTCTGCACAGACGTTTTAGCTAAACGTTTCAGGGCCGGTTATTATAAGTCTAACTGCGGACTTAAACAATCGTTGAACTTACATATTTGTATGTTAGTGGGTCACTTGAAGTATTTAAAAAAAGTTCTTGTTGCCTGAGCTATAAGCATGTTGGCAATGTCAGCAGAGCAACGTTTAGTTACTAAGCCGTGCCAAACAGTGGCTGCAGGTTGTTGTTTTGTTTAAACCGGCTTCCAGCGTTTACCGGAGGCTGAAGGGTTTGCAACATCCTGTCTCCGTTTGTTTTAACAGGGAACAAGCCGACCAACGCATTATCACGTGTTGTATGACGACAATGAATTCGACGCTGACAGTCTTCAACAGCTCACTTATCAGCTGTGTCATGTGTATGCTCGGTGCACTAAGAGTGTGTCCATGCCAGCCCCTGCTTATTACGCCCATTTAGCAGCTTTCCATGCTCGGGTCCACGTGACCAATGGTGGAAGTGGCAGGTAAGAACGCCTGATCAAATAATGTGTGATCGTGGACCTTATAAAAGTGGTACCCCTCAGGGAGGGAGAGGGGGAGAAGGGGAGCCGAGACAGAAGGAGGAACGGAAGAACGGAGAAAAACTTTGTAGGGCTAACACATTTACTGGTAAACCAGAAGTTTTCATTGTGGCCCACAAGGGTAAGAATCCCAGCTGGCAGGAGGCAAACCAGTTGGCTCACAGTTTAACAAGTGTGAGCGGGAAGTTGAACTCGGGACCACCGAAAATAAATCTAGCTAGCAGTTAGAGCGGGGATTGAACTCGGAATCTCCGAATTACAATTCCAGCGCTTTAACCGCTCTGCCACGCTGCCTGTGATAAGGGAGGTAGCTAGGGAGGGAAGAGAGGGAGAAAAATAACATAAAGTTTGTTGAGAAGCCTTTGAAGGAAAGTGCCATAAATCGTTACAGTACTTGAACATTGTTCTATGGAACAACCACGACGACGTCCCTAAAAATTTTTATTTACTTACTTTTAACTTCATCGCGATTTATTCAACTAGCTTAGGTTTTTAAACTCTGCATCAAAGTTCAGAATGAGAGATCAAAACTCCTTGTTGTAGTTCACGTTTTCTATAAAACTTTCTTTGTACCAAAAGCTGTAATTTTATGTTTGCAGAGTTATTTTTTAACTTACTTCACCTGTTGTTTTTTCTGTCATGGTCGCGGTGGGATAATTGAGCAACGCACGACAACCAGAAGTGCACTTTTTGCATTCTTAAGCTGTGGTTTTGCCCACATTTTCGGGCAAACCGTGTATATAAGGGTAAAGACACATAGCAATGCAAATTTGCCAGCGTCAAGGCATATGAAAAAGGGAGAATGCCTCACTTCCGGTTCGGACTAGCCTGCGAAAACATCCGTTTCTCCTCGCTCTTCGCCGCTTGGGACGTTTCGCGCGGAGGAACGACGTTCGTCCTAGCGAAACGTCCCTAGCGGCGAAGAGCGAGAAGAAACGGATGTTTTCGCAGGCTAGGTTCGGACGTGCGTCGCCCAAAAAATGGTATTTCTGACAGTGTAGTATAGCGGAACAGGCAGAAATACCTATTTTTCCGGCACGGACCAGCGAACTGGGTCGTCTTAGTTGTACGTTGCAAATTTGATTCAGTCTAGGTCAGCATTCATTCGAGCTCGTGACTTTTATTTTATTTGCTAATTTTGTTATATTTGTTTATAGGCTTTTGGCAGCTAGTTTTTGCGTACCTCAGCAACCGAGTTGTCGGCACCGCAGCTGATTTCAGCAGGCGGGGGTGTACGTTCCCTTTTTTTCCCCTGGCCCCTGTATTTATTCTTGTGTGGTTGTCTTTCTGAGTAGTGTGGGCAAAATCATCTTTCCTTATGCTCCCTTGCAACCCTCTGCAACCTGGACGTAATTGTCGCTCTCTTGTTAATAAAATGATTATTTTCTCTTTACTTGAGCGCTATCTTTTCTTCTGTTTTAAAGGGATGCTGGAGATGTTGATGTAGAGAAGTGTTCCAAAGCGATTCAAGTCAGCGATAAAATGAAGGGCGGGATGTATTTTACCTAAAAATGTGTTCCGCAAACACTGAGGGAGGTGACGAAAGGCCGTTTTGGACACGCAAACTCGAAGGTGGAACCTTATCATTTGAAAGGCAGTAAATGTTAGTCTTTAGGTACTATAGTTATTAACCTTTTTAGTGGTAGTTGTCCAGGCGCCGTTTTGGTTGATGTTTTACTGTTGGTTTAAAACCAAAATTTGTTGTTATGTTCTAGGTAACATTATTGAGGCAAAGCACTCAAAAAGTTAAGATTTAACCAAGGAAGACGTGTATGTAAAGTAGAGTTCTAGTGACCTGTGTGGTATGATCAATATTTAAAGATAAAACCTACGAAATTGTGTATTATTAATATTTTATTATATTTAAAAAAGTACATAATGATAGTGTCAGAATAGACTTTATTCACGATACTCGCCATCTTTGCACGCGCTTTTGGAGTGATGGAATGAAAGCAATGTCACGTGGTATTTCAGGGGGCAAACAAGTGATAAATTTGCCAATACAAGTAATCACGGTCGAGTTTGTTTATTCTTTCAAAACGAGACAACGATTTGGTGGTCAAGCAAAGTGTACAGGTCGAATTTCCTCAAGTTTTACGTCAATATTGCTTGCTGTGAGGACATGTACGGTCGCTACTGCATCAAAAAAAGTAACAATGATCACTTACGCCAGTCCTATAATTTTCCATTATCGTTTTTAAGATAAAAAGTTCTTCATTTTCCGTGGTCTAGAATAAACAAACACGTCCGCGATTTTTTGCATTGGCAAATTTTATCAGTTGTTTGCCCCCTGAGAAACCACGTGACGTCGGTTTTATCTCACCGGTCCTTACGGGTCAGCATTAGATAACATTGAGTGAAGTCAGATTGTTTCTTTCAGTAAAATTACATGAAGAGCAACTTAAGTCCAACTTTACTGTATAATATAACAGTGAAATAGAAAAACTCCAGTGTGATGCTTTGAACCCGGGCCTTCGTCTTGGGGATTATTCAACAATATTAACTTCGCCTTCGGCGAATTGTTAAATATATATTATATTTTTCGGAGCCCACAATTATGATCAACTTTTTTCCTAATTTTTTTGGTTGCGAACAAAAGATGCACGCAACAAAAGATGCCGATTGCATTCATCCTGATAGTTACTTGTTCGCTTTACCATCGTAAAATGTTACGTTATTGTTTGGAAAGGAGCTTAACTTATAAGCTTTGCCAAAAGAACTGATACTACGATCTCCTAACGTGATCTTATAAACTAAGACTGTAACAGCAGACACAAATTTACTGGAAAGAAAATAAATGCTTTTACATGTGCTATTTTCCTCGTTGCACTTGCCTTTATTAAGCTAAGAGCAGGCTTTTGGTGGGCTTGGTGCTGGGGGAGGACTATGGAGAGTAACAAGGTGCCCACTGCGCGCCGCCTCCCACCAGCACAGGCACGCACTTTTCGACGCGCGTACACCCGATATTTTCTCTGTTTATGGGACAGAATTAGTTTGCTGGCCTGGCCCATCTAACGTGTGTGTTCATAATCCCAAAATTAGTAAAATGAATAGGCCACTTCCGAGTTCCAAAAACCCTCACTTTCAAAATGAGGTCTAGTGCACAACCTTTCTTGTGAAAGTGAGTTTTATTTGCATGAGAATGAAAACTCATTTCCATATCAAAGGCTTGAGCACTTAACCTCGTTTTGATACGGAGGCCCAAGAGAACTCGGAAATGGCCTATAATACCCCACTGTTTATATTCCAAATTTCTGGCATATGACAAAACGTCTAATAAGCGAATCGACCATCGTGTTTCTGGGAAACTGCCCACCTACCCCTCCCCTAAGCCAACATTAACACTTACTTCTCACTTACAGCAAAATGTTGGCTTAGGGGAGGGGTAGGTGGGCAGTTTCCCAGGAACGTATAATGATCCTTTCAGACGAACTTACCAGTAGTAAGCACTTATATCCACTGTCATTGACTGAAAGTAGGATATTCTTTGTTAAGTAAGACACTTTCGGACTTTAGAGACGGGCTATTAGAAACGTGAAAAGGGGGTTGGGTGGGGGTTGTAAAAAAAGAATTCAATACAAGAAAAATTTACACAAACATAATCAACACCCGGAAAAGGACATTTGCATGATGGCGTCATTTTACTACTATCACCAGGATCCTCTGAGGGTTTTGCTTTCTTGTGCAAATTAGAGCTATTTTGTTATTTAAACCTCACTGGGGCTACCAAATTTAAATATGTGAGGAAAAGCGAAAAGAATTCTGGTCGTAATAGTAAAATGACGCCATCATGCAAATGCCTATTAACAGGCAGAAAACAAGACATTCGCCATTTGCACATCTCCCCTAATGCACCTTATTTGCCCCCCAAAATTTTGCATAACCTTTGTAGTTCATTTCTCCTGGGTATTAAAGCCGTCCCAAGAGAAATTGAAAAAAATGTTTATGCAAAATTTGGGGGGCAAATAAGGTGCGTTATGGGAGATGTGCAAGTGGCGAATACACTGATAAGAAAAAAATCTTGCATGCATGGCGAACCAAAACAAATTTTACTATCTCATTCGTGTGGGCGTAAATAGAAATACGGCAGTGTGAACATTCGCGCTGGGTTGGAAAATCCGACGAGTTTCTCCTCTGCGTTTTCATTCTTCCCATCGTGATCTGAAGGGTTAGTTTCAAGTTTGTTTGCCAAAATGTCGTTTTTGAATAGACAACCTGTCATATTTCCGTCCCTGTACAACAAGCTGAAGCACACATGATGAAACCGAGAATTTTCCCTTTTAAGAAAAAGAATTCTGAAAACTGGTGAAACGTGACTGGCAGACCACGATTCGGTCATGCGTCAATTATGTACAGAATTGGAGTCACACAGTATAATTTACGTTCATATAGTCACGCACTACTTAGGTTCAATGGTGAATGACTAACCCAATAGTTGCCATTTTCGCTATTCCCCGACTACTCTTTGCAAATTAAATTTCTCCCTTTCCTGTTAAGTTACCCAGCCACACTGATTTCATAGAAAGAAAGACAATAAGTTGGGTAACAAAACGATATAGAATAGAAGGGAAAGGGGAAGAAAGAGGAAGAGAAAGAAAGAGCGAAATAGATATTTGCAAAATTTTGTCTTAAGCGCATGCGCCAAAAACAACAATGAAGCTTAACTGGCGGGAAAATATGCAAAGGGTTAAGCGGGAGAGGCGGAGGGGGATTGTCTGAAGGGGGACGCTAATTCAAGCATTATCGGTAACTAAACGAGGTAAAGCATTTCATGTTCTTGTCAGAGTATGGTGAACAGTATAATGTTCAAAGGGTACACTTAATGTTGTACATCTTAGTGCTACTGCAAATGATCAAACCCAGAGAGAATCGAATTAACTATGAAGTGAAATTTCAAGTGCCACAATTAACCCTTAAACGCTACTGAGCGTTATTGCCAGTAAAGGG